AACAGCAAGCATGAAAATCCAATGGTCTTCTATTGAGACAAATTAGAAAGAGACTTGAAAAAATGTAAAAATGTAAAAAGCTATGCCTTCTCACTACCATGTTTATTTTGGGAAACTATCTTTATATTAAATGCATGGATTATTAATATTATTCTCAAAAGTTAATACAAAAATTTAAACTGTTATTCCTACTATGAAAAATATCGGTAGATGTACCCACATACACAGAATAATCCTTGGCTTCTCACTCATTTGTAAGACTGTGTGAGCATTCTGACCAAAATGTTTTCAAAATCACAAACTGACACAGCCCTGGGCCAGGACCCGGGAGACAGTGTGTCAAAGAGCCCTCGGTGCAGGAGGGGAGGGATCAGGGCAAAGTCCCAGGTCCCCAGAAGGGCAAGGTTCTCGGGGTGTGCCTAGGGTGGGGTCTGGGGCGGGGACGCTCCGTGCTGGGGGTTCCCCATCTCTCCAGGTTTCACTTTCTCTCTCACAACCTGTGTCGGGCGCTCCTGCCTGGACACTCGTGACGCGGCCCCACTTCTCAGTCCCATTGCGAGTTCTGTTTCTGGAGAAGCCAATCAGCGTCACCCCGGTTCCCGGTTATAAAGTCCGCACGGACCTGCCTCCACTCAGCTTGTCTTCAGAGTCGGGGCAGGCCAGTCATGGGGACGCGAGCCCTCCTCCTGCTGCTCTCGGGGGCCCTGGCCCTGACCGAGACCGGGCGGGTGAGTGCGGGTCGGGAGGGAACGGCCTCTGCGGGGGAGGAGCGAGGGGCCTCTGGACAGGAGGGCAGGACCCCGGGGATGGTGCGACCTCGCCGGCCCCCGCCCAGACCCATCACCCCACCCGGATCCCGGGTCCTCGCTCCCTTGCTTCTCGCCCGCTCTTCTCTCCCATCTGATCCCGACTCTTCTCCACCCGCCGCCCCTTTTCCGTCTCACGCGCCCGCTCCTCCCCGCCCGTCACCTCGGACCCAGGACCCAAGGGTTAGGAGGGTCGGGCCGGGTCTCACCCCTCTCCGCCCCCAGGCTCCCACTCCATGAGGTATTTCCACACCGGGGTGTCCCGGCCCGGCCGCGGGGAGCCCCGCTTCATCACCGCCGGCTACGTGGACGACACGCAGTTCGTGTGGTTCGACAGCGACGCCCCGAATCCGAGGAAGGAGCCGCGGGCGCGGTGGGTGGAGCAGGAGGGGCCGGAGTACTGGGAACGGGAGACACGGATCTCCAAGGAGAACGCACAGACGTTCCGAGTGAACCTGCGCACCGCCCTCGGCTACTACAACCAGAGCGAGGCCGGTGAGCGGCGCGGGCCCGGGTCCAGCTCAGGACCCCCT